GCCACCACACAGATCAACTTTGATACACTTTTATCACCTGTAACACATCATCATCACCATGCAAATCTATTTACTAAAAACAGTTGTCATCTCACCACTTGCAAAGCTATTTTGTGTTTTTAAATGTATATATATAGAGAGAATTCTTTTATAGAGAGAGAGAAAGCTTTGAATTTCTGGAGATTACTATAGTAGGGCGAGGTGGAGTGGTCTCGTGGATGGTATGCAATATTCAGAAAACGTTTTAAATTTAGGGAATTTTCTTCAGGTGAGGGTGGTTCCATAGAATTGAGTGTAATTTTTAGAAAATGTTTCAATTTTTGGAAAATTTCTCTGGATGGAACGAGGTGGGGTAGAGATTTGATCTAATGTATGTCAATTATATATATCTAAACTATATTATTAATTAAAATTAATACCTAAATTTTGAAATAATTTGGCTAGCGTGTTAGTTTCGAAATATGATAATTATAGCGCGTAGTAATTGTGTACATTTTCAAATCTAAGTGTGGTGTTAGATTTCCACAATAAAATGGATAAGGGCACTTCCATTCTTTAGATAAATGTGGTGGGAACCCATTCAACCATTGGTCGGATTTGTGGATTAAGACACTATTGATTTTTGTGGCTCACAATCAATCAAATTTTTTTTTTTTCCCTTAGCCGTGTTTGAGCCTCATTATTTAGCCTTTGTTCGGGCTCCGTTGAATATAGATTTTAGAGGAAAAAAAAATGTATTTTTGAATAATAATTTTCTATAAAATATATGGTTCAAAAAAAGAAAAAAAATTTTTAGACTTTACGTGTAATATTATTTTAGTGAAAAATACTTAATTGAAAATAAGAACAAAAAATTCATTTTCGTATAATGGATGCACAAACAAGGGCTTAAAAACTCATTTTTCTTTAAATTTATTTTCAAGTACACATTTTTTCAATAAAATGATGAAAAAATTGCAGTCATAGTACCAAACATTTTACTTCTATGCAGATTTGATCCAAACTTTTAATTTGTAACAACCACAGTGCCAAACCTTTCAAAAACTCACATTTAGATTCCAATTTAACAAGTAAAGATGACAAAAAACTCATTATACCCAATACCCGTGGGACTCCGCCTCGAATGGGATGGAGATTACCCACTTAACCAAGTAATCGGGTTGAGGATGTTGGGAATTTATTGAAACATGCACAGCAGAAATAAACAGTTTCAATTTCTACCAGGATTCACCTTTGTATTTAAATAAGAACTGTGATAAGAATTATACATTTTCTTGAATTTTGCAAACTCTTTTACGTTATCTTTGTTCGAACAACTTGAATCTGACTCCCACAGCTGTCCAATTGTCCAGCTTTCAATGAAATCCACACCGAGAACAGAAACTATTAGGGTTTTTCTTCTTGCGCCAGCAAGAATTATGAAAACCATATGGATCTAAAATCCTAATTATGTATTTATATAAGTCCAAACGAGCTCGGCCCGGTTCGATCCAATATTTAATTAATCCATTTAATTGAATTCGGTCCGTGAATTAATTAATTAATTTCGGGCTATAAATAACCAATTCAATTAATTAATTTATCCAACAATTGTTAAATTAATTAATTGGCAATTTACAATCTTTCAATTCTCTTTTGTGTGCGACCCATTAGATTCCTGACCACGATACCTAACGACGTGAAATATTATTTTGATCTAATCAAAATTGATAAATTAAACACCCTTTTAATTTATCACAAATTCACACTCGTCATCCCAGATTGATATCTAGCAATGTATTAGGGCAACACATATGACGGAAAATATCACGTGGTATGACAAAATCAAAACTGCTCGTTTACCAAGAAACTATACTCCATTCGTCAATATGATCCGATCAATTACGAGATATAGAAGTGTGTCAATCTCGATTATCGATCATATCTTTCATTCTGCTATTAACTTAATATGAGTCGAAAACTCCTTTTCGACTTATGTGTATACCTTGGCCAAGGATTTCGTTATTGACTTAATTGAACGAAATGCAGATCACAATCTCTTACTATCTAAGAGTGACGAATCATCTATTGGTCATTCATAACCTTCGTATGGTTCTTGACATACCCGAACGATGTTGTATTAGCGGCCCTTGGTAGAGCAGTATCTAACACCGTCAAAACATGACTATCCTCATACAAGGCACTATGATGACCTCAAGTCAAGGACCAATTTCACTACCGAATGTTAAAGATTAACCACTGAAACTAAGATAGTTATCCATGTGGAATCTCTTAGTGGGTCTCCAATGTTTTGTTCTATAACAAAACATCCACGTGTTCCTTTAAATGTCACCACACTTTAACTTATGAGATCAACTACTTACTTCACAAATAAGAAATATCACACGTGATGGTCTATCCGTAATAACGATATCCGTATCTCGTTATTACTTACGAAAACGGATTATTCAAGATCCAATCATACGTAATTTATATATCACAATCATAACTCCTTATGATTAACAAAATATTTAAACTTGAATTTTCGGACTCTATTATTTAACATTATTTATCAGAAAATTAATTTAAATAAATAATAGATTTTGTCAAAATTAAATATATTAAACATATTAAAAGTGTTTACAAGCTAAATCGGTTGGATTTAGGCCATAACACTTACAGAGGATAGGGTAGGTACGAATAACAAGGCCTTCCCCCTCCTTCCGTTTATTTATTATTATTATTTTAAAGAAATCAATAATTTAAATGAAAAATTTCACGAAATTTCATTAATTCTAATAGGATATGGCAATTAAGATTATCTGAAAAAAATGATAAACAATAAAGAATTTAGTTTAATTGCCAAATAAATTCGAATAGTTTAACTTTTTAAAAATAAATAAATTTAATAATTATATTATTGTCATACTTTAATGAATTGAGACAATAAATTAAATTATTAAAAACTTAAAAAAAATAAAAATAAACAGGTATATAAACAGGCAAACGTCCTGCCCTGTCCCGCCTCGCCCTGCTCTACCTTAAACAAGTAATAGGATCGGTACGGGGCGAAAAATGCTTCCATCCCGAATCCGTCCATTGCCATCCCTATTAACAAGAAACTATTAGTTTGCTCGCTAATTGTCTAAAGAATTGACATTGATCATAATTTTGACTAATTTTAAAATGATAAGACGATAACTTTACATTTTTCTTAAACAAAAAAATAATAATAATAAAATTGTAATAAATTAATATTTAAAAAAATAAAAAATCAAACACACCTTCCAACACCATCCCCTCTTTCTCAAACCCTTTATACCAAAAAAAATCACTTCGGTTAAAATTTTCAAACTTAATACATAGAATCTCGTCATATGCACACACAGACCAATATCAACATTCATCAAAATCAAACTAGAGTAATCCAACCATAAAATCAAGAAAAGCCAAGTAACTGCCCCCAGGACACATTTTCAAGTGGTAAAAGGGGAGGGTGGAGAAATCAAACTTTACTTGAGGCTGCTGCGTCTAGGATTCGAATCCTGAAGTATGGATTTGGCTTTTGGGTAAGTGCAAGTGTACAAGCAGCCTTCCACCCTGTACTCTTGGAGGCATAATCTGCGATTTACCTCCCTCACGATGCTCCAGGGCAGGAGTGATGGGGGACCCTTAAGGTTAGGGTTTAACCTTTTTTTAAGAAAAGCCAAGTAACAATAATTTAGTCCTCGTTTGGCCCTCATTTTTTGAAATGAAAATGGGTGAAATAGTATTTTTTTTTTTTAAATAAGTAGTTGAAAAAGAATGAAATTTTTTTGACTTACGTGTAACATTATTTTATGAAAAATTATGTAGTTAAAAATATGAGAGAAAAATAAAATGAAATTTAATGGGAACCAAACGTGATCTAATTGAACAAATGTGTTGTCTCCTTCACAAATTGGAATTGCTCGAACCATGATGGAGTTGCCGCTCTAATCCAGATTGTTGTATCTAACCCCAACGGGGAGAATGAGCCGAAGGACAATGCACCAACACCAGGATCGTATAAGCTATTGGACTGACCCGAAACAAAACAACATGATAGTCAAATATTATATATATATATATATATATATATATATGGTGTTTGATAGTCATTTTTATGTAAAAATGCATTTTATAATAGTAAATTGATTTGAAATGTGTGGTCGAAAAATAAGGAAATTTTTTTGATTTACGTGTAATATTATTTTAATAAAAAATACGTGGTTGAAAAGAAAAGAGAGAAAAATGCATTTTGAAAAAAATGGCTATCAAATTGGGCTATAGGCTTTAATTTACATGCAAAATATTTGGTCATTGTTTGTCATCCTTTAACAAATTAAAGTGCTTGCTACAGTAATATTTTCTACCATATATTTACACAATAAAATATTTAAAATATAAATAAATAAAGTTTCTTTAAATTTCAACCACACATTCTGTAAAATATACTATTCAAAACTCTATATTTTCTCTCAGAATGGGAGATAATCAAGTTTTTATTATGAGAATGTATGATTGAAAATGAATTTGAAAAAAAAATTTAGGAGTAAGAGAAGAGTTTGAAAATAATTGTTGTGAAATAGCGGCTTAATTTCCACTTTCCCGGAGAAAGGCCACGCTAGACGCAGGGGTTGGCGGGTCCCGGAGGCAACCTTAGTACACTCGGTGAGTCTGACTCAACTCGAGTTTGTGGATGAGAAACGAGTTTACAAATCCTCTATAATCAGTAATCTAATGAAAAGAAAACAAAAAATAAAAATTGAAAAGGGCTGGCGGGGAGCTTCTGGAGCAGGAATATCAGCCACTAAATTTGTGCCACGTGGCGTCATCTTATTGACATTGGACCTACTTTGTTACCTTTCCTCCTACTTCTTGGCTATCTCCAGCCTCAAATTAATTTTCAAATTTCTAATTTTTTTTCGCCTGAATTACTAGTGGCTCTCGTTTTTTCCTCATATAAAAAAATTAAAATAAAACCTCCATTGCCAGTTCCTTTCTCTCTCTCTCCCCTATTCCTGTTATCCCTTTTTGGGGTTCGTTCAGTTCAAGTAAAAACTCAGAAGTGTTCGATTGTTAATTAATTGATTGACTCGCAGATATATTTCTTCAATATTCCGATCTAAATTGCGCCAGGGCTATCTCGGAAGGTATGTTTTATGGTTTTGGTTAATTTGTTCTTCCATATAGGTGATATGAATGATTATATTTGCCCACAGTATTGGAGCTTACTGATCGAGTCCCCTTTTTTCTCTCTTTTTGTGGAATGGATTGAACTTGGAAGGTTAAAGCAACATGCGGTTCCTTTTGGTGAGGATCCTAGATAAGGAATTAACTCCTCTTCGTGTTTAACTAGTATTCTTCTTTCATATTCAGAGATGTGTCTCTCTCCCTCTCGTCATACCCACAATCATATATGAATATTTTTAATTAATTAAGAATTTAACTAGTTATCAGATGAAGAAATGATTATTAGGAAATGGTGGATCTGTGTCAAATACTTTTGCTACTTGTTTTTCTGATTTACAGTTGTAGTTGTACTAAGTCGGGTGTCCATTAACACCACCACAACGGCCAAGCTATTTAAATTAGTGGTTATTAGCGATGAACGGAAGCATCCTCTATATTTGAAGCAGCCCCCTGCTCCAGTATTTAGATGGACCCTTATTCGTCTGGAGAAGAACTTGTTGTCAAGGTCTCGATCCTTGTACTCTAATTTTAAAATTTGTAATACTTTCTGGTCCTTGTTATTCATAGCTTGAGGCGCAGTTCCTTGTTTAAAGTGCCATTATATTTACTTTAATGGCAGACAAGGAAACCTTATACAATCACTAAGCAACGTGAGCGATGGACAGAGGAGGAACACAATAGGTTTTTAGAGGCTCTTAAGCTCTATGGACGTGCTTGGCAGCGCATAGAAGGTCACTATTCGTTCACAGTTTTATATATATTGATTGTCTCACTATTAATTTGTGGATGCAAATCATTTTAGATAATTAAAGCATGTTTTTTTACAATAATCAGCTTCAGTTCAAATTTTTTACCATCAGATAATGTACTTTTGTGATTTCTGCTTAATTTATTATATCTCCTTTAGAAGAGTTATATTTCTTGAATATATTCTCTTAATTAGAGACCTGTTTTTCCTCCCCCTTTTTCCCTTTTCTATATCCTGGTGCGCAGAACATGTAGGAACCAAGACTGCTGTGCAGATCAGAAGTCATGCACAGAAATTTTTTACAAAGGTCAATTGCTACCTTCTCATGCTTTCTTGTATTGTTTTATAATGGAACTTCTTTGTTCTAGGACCTGGCTCAAATTCATGGCGGGGACAATACATTCCTGATATTTGCATTTGAAAGTTTTTAAATTTCGTTCTCTACTTGTGTATATATATATTATTAGTTTTGTTTTCTGTAGTGTGCATTCTAATGTTCTTGCAATTGTTGTCATTCCTTGTCCTTAGAAATTGGAATATTGATTAGAACATGAATTTGTTGATATTTTACCAGAATAATTGTAATGACCCGAACCTCTGTGATCAAGCCGTCATATCACACATACTGTCTACTTTAGGAGATCATATGTCCATCTTATTCCTCACGAACTTTTATTATCTCCCAAGATTCGAACTCAATGCTTCTCCCTTATGAGAGATTAAAGTTGAATTCTAATACCAATTAGGCAGTCACTCTGAAATTTATACAGAATTGGTATCAGGATTTAACTTAAGTCTACAATTTAAGTCTATCCTGAGATTGGAGTCTTGAGTTCGAATCTTGAGAGACACAATAGAAATTTGTGCGGAGTAAGATAGGTTAAGGCTTGCCAAAAGCAGACAATGCGTATGATATAATGGATTGGGTGTGCAAACCGAATCGTTACAATAATTACTATATTCATACCTCTTACACGTCACATAAATATAAAAATAATAATGAGCATATAACAATTTGAGCTACTACTCTTAACTCCAATTTGATTTAGCTAAAATCAGATTTTTAGTAGATTTGTCTTCCCAAACAAGGCACAATCGTGCGAGGCATGTTGATTAAAATCTCACGTTGCTTAAATATGAAAAAAAAAACATATAAAGGTTTGGGTCATAGTTGACCTTTCAACATTCCAAACTAGTTTGCAACTTGAGGATCTCTCCACTCATTGCTTTCGTACAGATGCTTTAATATAGCATAAGGGCTAAGTTTGGGAGGTATAAATGAGTCATTACTATATTTACACCAAATTGAATGGTTTCCCCTTATTTTGCCATTGTTATGAGTATTTTGTAGTACCAGCCTAAATAGCTTCTCCACTCATTGATGTAATATAGACGATTTGACGATTTCATAAGATAAGTTTTACCTTACAAGACTTTTTGCCTTTCTACATCTGCACTAAACTTAATATATGTCTAGGAGCAATCAGAATATCAAGAAAAGAATATTTAATGCATGTTTGAGCCCCCGTTTTTGGGCTAAAAATATATTTTGAAATAGTATATTGATGGAGAATATGTAGTTAAAACATAAATAAAAGTTTTAGGGGTTCGTGTAATATTATTTTATTGAAAAATGTGTAGTTGAAAAAAGAGAAAAAAAGATATTTTGGAAATAATGTCAAACAAGGGTTTAGTTAAATAAAGATTTCTAGATATGTGAGGATTAGAAGAGGTGCCTGTGTTGTGTAGAGTTTTTATGCTCATTTTTTTCCAATTGTTGAGAAAGTCGTGACTTTTTCCCCCTTTAAGTAAGATATAGTTCTATATTGTTCACTCTCAAATGGAGTGATATGGTCCGAAGGAGAAGAATGAGAAATTTCAGGGTTATTAGCATACCCGTAAAAAATAAGAGACTTATGGGAAACTTTGAGCAACACGGTACTCGTGATTAGAAGAAGATTGAACACGAAAAACTATAGGAGACTCGTGAATAGAAGATTGAACAATAAGAAGTACATTCCAAAATGAATCTCTTCAATTTCCTCATGAAGATAAATTTTGGTGAAAAAAACACTTAATTCTTTGAAAAGGTAATGCACATACATACAAAAAAATAAAAAATAAAAATCTTTGGAGGGTGATAATACTAGTAACCTTTTGGGTAGGTGAATAACCTAGTAAAACATTTCTAAGAGTTTTTGGATCCAACTTTCCTCAGTTAAGACCATGAGCACATGGACGAACACTAGACAGCTAAAAACCTTAGATGGAAGAGAACAAAATAGATTTAGATATTGGATAAATGTGTTTAAGGATATCGAGAGGTGTTTTAAAATTCAAGACCCTGTGGAATTTTATTGATAAGTGACTCTTGATGGCATTCTATTGATAAGGTAAGATGTATTAAAAATGGTTCCACCCTGGAATCGTTTTGGAACCCTAGTGGCAAACATTATTGGTTTAGCTACCTTAAGAAGATGTCAATTTTTTCTTGCTGCAAAATCATTTTGTTATTGAGAATTTGCACAAGAATTTTGATATACAACCTCATTTTCAGCAAGATATGAACCCAGAATTTGTGCTTTGTATTTCTTCCTATTTCCACTTTGAAGAATTTGAAGGTTGGCTTCAAATTGAAATTTTAGTCATTTGATGAAAAATGATTTGATTCGAATTTTTCTTTGAGCACTTAGACCCAACGGCACGAGTATGATTTAATGAACATAATTAAGTAATTAACCATGAAGATAAAACTTGAGAGAACGTGTTTATTTTTCTCACAAATAATGTACAGTGAGTTGGTCCTTTCATAGTACAAGGAAAATACACGGAAAAGGAAAAAATATAAATCTCCTACAATTATAATAAATCACAATATCCTATCTATGGTAATTGGAATAAAAGACAATCTTTACTCAATCAATTATGGATTTCGACACTACCCCTCAAGTTGGATCATAGATGTTAATCATATCCAACTTAAAAATGAAATTATCGAATTTCTGTCTAGGTAGTTATTTGGTGAAAACATTGCAACCTGTGTTTGTGTAGGAACATAAGTCATGCAAATGGTCCCTTCCTCAACCTTTTCCTTAATAAAGTATCTATCCAACTCTACATGCTTTGTTCGGTCATGTTGAATTGGATTGAGGAAAATGTTGATTGTTGCTTTATTATCACAGTTGAGTTCGATGGGCAACTTTGCTATGACATTTAATTCTTCCAATAGTTTTTTCAACCACAGTCCTTCGCATATACTGTGTGCTACAGCTCTGAACTCAGCTTCTGCACTACTTCTAGCCACCAAATTCTGTTTCTTGCTTCTCCATGTTACCAAATTTCCCCATACAAAGGTACAATACCCAGTAGTGGACCTTCTATCTTCTATCGAGCCTATTAAGTCTGCATATGTGAAAATTTCTGTCTTTACTGTCACCCCTTTTGAAGAGCAACCCCTTTCCAGCGACTCCCTTGAGATATCCGAGTATCTTGTAGACAACTTCTAGGTGACTTTCCTTTGGAGAATGCATGTGTTGACTTACTAAGCTAACTGCAAATGAGATGTCAGGTCTAATATGTGATAGGTAGATTAGCTTTCCAATCAGTCTTTGATATCTTTTAATTTCTACTGGCTTTTCTCCATCTTCATTTTTCCTTCCCATATCCACGGGTGTATCGCTTAGCTTGCATCTAAGCATGCCGGTTTCGGTTAAGAGATGAAGAACATACTTTCGTTGAGATACATTGATACCTCTTCTAGATCTGGCAACTTCCATTCCTAGAAAGTATTGCATTGGTCCCAAATCCTCTATCTCGAATTCAATGGTAAGGCTTCTCTTTAGTCTTTCCATTTCAACTATATTATCACCTGTCAAAATAATATCATCGACATATACTATTAGAATCATTTTAGTACCATCTTCAAATGGTCGAAGAAACATGGTGTGATCTTACTGCCCTTGGCGATATAAGAAAACCATGTTCTTGGTGACTGCTTGAGTCTGTATAAGAACTTTTTCAGCTTACATACCCAATTTCTTTCATTTACCTTACAAAATTCTGGTCGTAATGTCATGAATACTTCTTCTTCCAATTCCCCATTTAAGAAAGCATTTTTAATATCCAGTTGTTGAAGTGGCCAATCCAAATTTGCAGCTAATGATAGAAGAACCCGAATTGTATTCAGTTTTGCTGCTGGTGCAAATGTTTCTGTATAGTCAATGTCGTAAGTATGTGTGTATCCTTTTGCAACCAATCAAGCTTTTTATCTTTCTATTGTCCCATCGACTTTGTATTTTAAGTTAAAGACCCATTTACATCCAACGGGTTTCTTTCCTTTTGGTAAATCCATCACTTCCCAGGTCTCATTTTTTTTCCAAAGCTCTCATTTCTTCCAAAGCTGCTTCTCTTCATTTTGGAATTTCTAATACTTCCTGAATAGTTCTTGGATCACTGTACTATCAATATGAGTGGTAAAAGCACGAAATCCTATAGGTAAAGTATTATATGACAAGAATTTTGAAATAGGATGAAGAGTACATGGCCTTGTTTGTTTTCTGAGAGCAATGGGTAAATCCGTATCCAACATCTCTAGGGCTTTCTAAGGTTCTGGAGCTACCATCCGTTCTGACTCTTTTGGTGCTTCGGATGTGAGATTCTCCAAGTTCTTTGACTTTGGCTTTCATGAATAAACTAGTATCTCCATATCATTTTGTTCTTTTACGTCACTCCCTGTGTTTTAAGTTCCCTTTTGTCATTGGCATAGTAGACTCAGATGGTGGGACAGGTTCAGGAGAGGAGAGACTGAAGTCAAATAACCGATCTTCATACAAGGTCTCTCCTTGAAGAGAGGTGTTGGTAAAGTATGGAGTGTTTTCGAAAAAGGTAACATCAAGACTTACAAAGATTTTTTTCATGAAAGGATCATAGCATTTGTAGCCCTTTTGTGTAGGAGAATATCCAATCAATACACATTTAATAGCTCGAGGATCTAGTTTACTTCGGTGATGAGAGTGAATATGAATGAATGTAGTACAACCAAACACTCTTAGGGGTAGATGAGAGCTGAGTCGAGAAGTCGGGAAGTATTTCTTAAATTTTTGGATTGGTGTCTCGAAGTTTAGGACACAACTAGGCATTCGATTGATTAAATAGGTGGATGTGAGGATAGCATCCCCCAAAACATCTTAGGCATATTCATAGTAAACATTAAGGTACAGGCAACCTCTAGGAGATGACTATTTTTGCGTTCGGCAATCCCATTTTATTGAGAAGTGTCAACGCAGGAGCTTTGATGAATTTTTCCATATTTTTGAAGGAAGTCACCCATGATGGTATTGAAGTATTCTGTGCCATTGTCAGTGTATAAGATTTGAATTTGTGTTTGGATCATCGAATGAAAGTTGATAAACATGGAACGGACATCGGATTTATCTTTGAGTAGGTAGACCCAACTAAGTCGGTTGTGATTATCGATAAAAGTGACAAATCATTTTGTGTGGTTACGATTTGGGACTTGTGAGGGTCCCCATACATCGTTGTGAATCACGGTGAATGGTTTTGATGGTTTGTACGTGGATTGTGGGAATGATGTGCATTGGTGCTTTGCAAGTTCACAGATTTCACATTGAAAATTAACTTGCTTTTTATTTATGAAAATAAAGGGCAATACACGTTTCAAATAATGAAAGTTCGGATGACCTATTCTAAAATGCCATAACAAAATTTCACGATCACTAAGAACAGATGCAGAATCACAAATTTTAAGTTGACATTGGTTACTCACATCAACCTTGTCAAAGTAATAGAGTCCTTCACTTTCTTTAGCACTGCCAATCGTCTTCCTTGATGATAGATCCTGAAAAATATAGTGTGATGGGAAAAATTTAGCGGAGCAATTGGAAGTTTTTGTTAGTTGGCTTATAGATAGTAAATTGCACGATAAATTTGGAACATGAAGGACCGATTCTAAAGTTATAGAATCATAAATTTGAATGCTCTCTTTTCCTACAACTGTCGAAAGAGAACCTTCTGCAATCTTAACTTTAAGATTATCCACACATTGTGAGTATGTAACAAACAAATTGTAAGAGTCTGTCATATGATCGGATGCCTCTGAATCAATAATCCATGGCACTTTAGCGAGTGTGGTAAAATTTCGGGCTCTAAAGAAATTACATTTGTGGGCCAATGAACCTAATATCTCAGATGACATTATGAAAATTAGCCCAAATAAATTTAATCCACCAAGAAGAAGAATAATACTACTGCCTAAACTGACTTAGGCCCAACAAATAGTAGCCCAACATCCAACAATGGTTCACCAAAATCAGTCACGGTAATACCTACAAAGATGCGAGCCCAATGTGACGTCGAAATCGTCGAGAACCCACAGTAACGCCGGAATAGCGTTGAATACAGTCAGAGGATAGTTGGAATATCCTCCTATTGCTCAAGAGATGCTAGAAATCGCGTCAATACACCCAGCAGAGAGATACTGAAAATTGCGTCGAACATCAACAGACATCGAAAATTCTGATGCAGAACTCCAACCACTAAGACAGAGGCAGTCAAAGGACGGTGGCGTCGACCAGACATTGATTGACCTCGAAACTTGTAAGAGATACATCGGAACAAAGTTGTCAACACCGAGAATTGAAGATTCAGCGTCTATTTCTATAGGTATGACTCTGATACCATGAAAATAAATCTCAGGAGAGAACGTTTATTTTTCTAACAAATAATGTACAGTAAGTTGGTCCTTTTATAGTGCAAGGAGAATACATGGAAAAGGGGGGAAAAAAAAAAACTACTACAATTATAATAAATCACAATATCCTATCTATGGTAATTGGAATAAAAGACAATTTTTACTCAATCAATTAGGGATTTCGACAAACCGTGTAGCCCCCAGAGACATTAACAACATGAGATGGTCCCAAATACCACTATAACTCTATAAGAAAGAAAATTGTGCATGAAAATTGAGCGTGATGATGTTTTGACAATTTGCATATTTCATATTGCATATCACGAAGAATTTTATTTTGAAACTAAGTAGGAAGTAACATCTTTGAATATGAAAAGTTTGGCTGCCCAATTTCTTATTTCAAAGTTCGATTTCATTAGAGCCTGAGTATGCTTTAGATAGATTACCAAAACTTGCAGTTGCACCTTCACAGTAATAAAACCTATTAACTTTCTTAAAATGTTCGATTAAGTTTTTCATGTACGTATCTTGAAATTCACGTTGTGTTGGAAAAGAACTTATTACTGCAATTAAGAATGATTTCTAATTGCAATAGAGGGAGTTTGGCCTTGGGGATAATTAAGCCCCCGTTTGGCCCCCATTAAATTTCATTACATTACATTCCATTTTTCTCTTTCCTATTTTCAACCACATAATCTTTTATAAAATAATATTATACATAAAAAGAAAAATTTTCATTCTTTTTCAATCACGAATTTTTTAAAAAAAATACTATTTCACACATTTTCATTTCTAGAAAATGGAAGCCAAACAGGGGCTAAGCGTGAGAGTTTAAGAAATCCATGTAACCTTGCACTTATGGTCGGGTTATTGTCTTCTTCTGTGGATGAGGGTTTCATTGAGCCTGTTGACATAAATCAATGTGTTAATTTCCTTTATTATTACTTTCATGCTTCTGTTGATGTGTGGATTTGTAGTTATATGTGATATACTACTGATTATAATAGTTAGTCTGATTAAATCTGGACTTATTATGAACTACAGCGTCATGTCCCTGTGTGTCTCTTTAGGGTATGAGCTTGTTTATTTCATTTGTTCTCTAGTTATTTTGATTGCCACCAATTGTATCATTATCAGTAGTTTTATTTTTTACAGTTCACTATTAAGATTTGGAGTTCCATCTTAAAAGGTCAACTCTATTAAGACTTAGGGTTTCATTTTAAAAGGTCAATCGTGTTAAAAAGGGTAACCCAAACCTTTATAAGTTGTTCTATGTTTTCATATTTATTCGATGTGGGATTTTTTCCCTTAACATTCTCAAAGTTTTTCTTACTTTAGTTGATCTTGGAACAATATTATAAAATCATCATCATCATCACCTAATAAATGAAAAACAGAGGCTATTTAATAAATTTCATAGTTTGATGATACTTTGTTGCTTGCTGTTCGGAGAAGGTTACCATGTTGTGCCACTTAATAAAAAGTCTATGGAATCTTATTGATTCTCTGCCTGTCACCTATACTTTTATCTCTGCATCTTCATCCCATTAGATATAATTTTTTTTTTTTTCCTTTTATTTCTTTTTTTTAATTTCCTGAGAAAGGGAAAGGGGGCTTGAGCCGCAAATCAAATCAAATACTTCTAATTAGCATGCAAGAAAAGGGAAGGGGGTTGATGCTGGAGTGTAGTGGATAATGGTTTCATATTTTGTGTGAAAAATTGTAATTCTGTCTCATTCTGATAGCAATGAGACAAACAGATAACTGGGAGCTTGAGAGGTAAAGCTTTGGAGTAATTAGATCAGAAAGGGGTTCTGAATTTTTTGGACTTGAAGATCGTCAAAGTATTAATTATGTTACGTACATACTCTAATTTGCATCCGTACATTAGGATGATAATGGATATTCATTTAGTTTTGTCACTGGTTGGTGCACGAGGTTGTATAAAAGCTAATTTTTTTTCATGGAAAACCTATTATAATGCTAATGCATAATAAAAACTTTGACCAGGATAATGGTGTATTCTTAGTCGTGTCATACTTCAGAAATGATCATTCCAGAAATCTACTTATACGCATGTCAAACTAGTTATTTTTCTTCCTCATCAAGATTGTGCTCTTTGTACTTCAACAATGCTTGCAAACATTCAATATCTTTAAAGTTTGTTTTCTGTGAATCCAGCTAGAGAAAGAGGCTCTTATTAAAGGAGTTCGAGTAGGACATACTCTTGACATTGAGATTCCTCCTCCACGTCCTAAAAAGAAACCAAGCAATCCTTATCCAAGAAAGACAAGTGCAGGAGCTCCTACTTCGCAGACAGAAGTAAACGATGAGAAAATATCAGCCCCTGTTTCTTCTTTATATGTGCATAAAACAAAACTAGACTTGGAGAAAGAACCAGTTCCTGATGAGGTATAGTCTTTCGTTTCGTTGGCATTTCTTTTTGGTTATTTCATAATTCAATTCAAAGTGTATATGTTTCCCTGTTACACACTTCTCTTCCAAGATAATTACTATGATGTTTGATTATTTTCTTCAATTTTTCCTTCATGTGTATAAACAATTTTCTCCCTCTAATGTGATATTATGCCAGAAACATGTTGATGATGGAAAGATGGGAAACACTAAGCAGTACCAAGATGAGGACATTTGCTCTGAGGCCGTGACCCTTCTCAAGACAGTTCCTCGTACCGCCCCATCTTCAACAAACAAAAGTTCTTTGACAACATCAGTTGGACCTAAAAACACAGACTCTGAATTTCTCCTGACCTCTAAAGAGGCAAATAATGAGGATGAAACAACTGAATCCCATATCATCATTGAACAAAAAGGACATCGGAAAGATAAATTTGATAACAGCAACCTATCTCAGGATTATGGTTTATATAAAACTTCAAACTTAGGAAATTCTCAACTTTTACACGAGAAATTTGTACAAGGTGAAGGACCAGATGAGCTGAATCGTTCCGAAAATGTTGATGCATTTCCAATCAATGATGTTCAAGCTTCTCAGCCCTATCCTCGACATGTTGCTGTTCAGATTCTTGATGGGAACTTAAGAATGAATAACATTTCCCCAGATGTACAATATCCAGAACCTATGTTTCATCAAATGGGTGGATTTACTGGACACCCAAATCTATTCATGAATCCTACTTCATCTGCTGCTTCTGAAAATCAAAGTAATGGATCATCTTCCATCCATCAAACATTTCCTAGTTTTCATCCTATCTCAAACCCAATCCACAATCAAGATGAGTACCGATCATTTCTGCACATGCCACCCACATTTTTAAGTCTTATTGTATCTGCTCTGATCCAAAATCCAGCAGCACATGCTACTGCAAGCTTTGCAGCTACGAACAGGCAATTTACAAACATGGAAGCTCCAGCAGAATCCCCTTCAGAAGGATTTCAGTCGAGGCAGATAAGTTCAGCTCCTAGTATGGCAGCAATTGCTGCAGCTACAGTTGAAGCTGCAACTGCATGGTGGGCAGCCAATGGCTTACTCCCATTCTGTTCTCCATTTCACTGGGGATTCAACTGTTCTCCCCCATCAGCATCAACAATTCCTATCGGCATAAGTAAAGATAGAGCAGCTAATACTGAAAGAAGAGAAAACCTTCCTGATCCTGCCACCTTAGGTGGTCAACAACTAGAACCAGAGTGCTCTGAGGCTTTGCAAGAACAACATTCAGCTTTGAAGTCATCAACATTGTTAATGTCAGATTCTGTGGAAGGTGAAGGCACAAAGCCAAATGTTGGATTAACTACTACTGAAACTGAACAAACTGCAGATGCAGCTATGCTGAATGATTCGAACAAGTCAAAAAGCAGAAAGCAGGTGGACCGCTCCTCATGTGGATCCAACACACCTTCCAGCAGTGAAGTAGATGCAGATGCTTTGGAGAATCATTCTAAAGGAAAAGAAGAGAAGAATGAGAAAGATAAGGAGTCAAAAGAACCTGATGTAAATCATTTAGCTCTTGACTCGACTAGTCAACGTTGTAGAAGCACCAGCAATATAAGTGATTCCTGGAAGGAAGTGTCTCAAGGGGTAACTGAATTTTTTTATACAGAGAAATATGCTTCCTGTCAATATGTGTGTTTGAAATTATTTCCTTTTTTCTTTTTCCTTCTCTCTATCCACTTCGTATGCAGGGACGACGGGCTTTTCGGGCACTCTTCTCTAGAGAAATATTGCCACAAAGTTTTTCCCCACCCCGCGATTTAGAGAAAAAGGATTTCATAAATATCGATAAGGATATAGAAAGTGCACAAGAGAGAGGTGAAGATGGATTGCAGTTAGACCTTAAAGGTAAGACGTGGGGTACCTCTTCTCGGAAGCTAGGAATGGAAAATAATGCTACTTCGATTGGTGCAAACAAAGAAGAGGGGCTCCTGAGTATGCGACTTGGATATGTCAAGCTAAAAGCTCGTCGAACAGGGTTTAAACCTTACAAAAGGTGCTCGGTGGAAGCAAAAGGGAGCTGGGCACAGGCCAATGGCCAGGAAGAAGAGAAAGGCCCCAAGAGAATACGTCTAGAAGGAGAGGCTTCTACCTAATTCTTCTTCTGATGCTGCAAGCATTTTCCACCCTATCATTTAGTACCATTAGCCTTTAGTTTATTTATGTAATATGAAGGATACAAATATATTACTTGGGACTTTATTTGAATCATGCAAAGGTAATTCAATAACCTTCTTGGATATGCACATCCCATCAGGCCCCTTTTCCTGCCTAGATCATCTGTTGAAGAAAGATTTATTTACTTTTCTAATATCCCTCCTAGTACTCTTTCTGGTGTTGTGTGTAGGATTGGTGTCTTTTGAGTAGCAACTGGTAAAGACTAAGGGCCTGTTTGGGCCCAAATTTTTCACCCAAAAAATTAATTTTTTTATCGTTATTTTACTATGCCAGCCGTTATATTTGTCTTCTTCTCTCACAGGTGGACCCCACTTTTTTCCTAACGGTCAAAAAATCAATTCTCAAAATCACTCCCAAACAAGCTTTAAGAAAACTTGAAGGATGAAGGTAATTAATGTGATTTTGAGTTTTTGTAGTCTAGTTTCTAGAGTTCTTTGGCGGTATCGAGGTGGAAGAGTTCTTAAATTTGGTTTATTACAGTTTTATTAGAGCGCTAGTTTTTGATGATTAGGTGGTCTTAGTGCACGAGAAGACAACAAACTATATCAATTGAGGTGGAGTTCAAATTTTAGTAAGTCTTGTTCCTGTTACTTCTTGGCTGCAATCGTTGTTGAATGAGTTAAGAATACCACTATCTTAAAACCAATGATATGGTGTGAATTTCAGTACAATTTTGCTATCTGCCAATCCAGTCACACATGCCCGTGCAAAGGATATCCAATTAAGTTTTCAATGATATTATTCTGTCTTGTCAACATGGAATGCAATCTCTTAATTTCTCAAGAAAGAAACAGAAGGCTGTCATCGTTTGTGTCAACTTCACTATGTTGATTCTGTGTTGGTCGGGTCGATTTTACGATATCTACTCGTATGTAGTTCGAGTTGCAATCTCTATCTAGTTTCATCCATCTCTGTGGGAACAATCTGCTTCCCAGTCTCGTCATTGTTGCTTTTTCCCCAAAGAAGAACGTACATGCCCACAATTACGATAATGGATCCCAAAATGCTGTTCAAAACAAATACATAATTAGTTTGACGGTTGTAAACTAACTCATAATAGAAATCATACAAATAATTCAAGACAATAAGCTAATTATGTATATTGATTAGTCATCAAGATATAGTTATTCAGTTTCTTATATTAATGGGTTCTAAATTCTAGAGTTTGCTTCCTCTAGAGTCTAGATGGATATGGCTTATTAAACTTCACACATTTTAAGATCCACCCGCCCAACACAAAAGTAATGCATGGTTTAGTATTCTTTTAAATTTTAAGAGAATCAATTTTAGTTGGGCCCAATAAAGAGTTTTATGTGGCATAAACTGCCTAATTGCCTTCAATTATAAATACCCAATGCCTTGCACGAAATTGGCGTGATTGTTCTTTGTGTTGTCTCTCCACATTATTCCTTGAAGACTCATGAACACGATCCATTGGAGAGATCATTCAATTCATTCTTAAATTCATACAACCATGTTAGGAAAAACATCAAATTCATTGAACCTAAAACACCTACTTCCTAAACACTCTTAAGAAGGTACTTTCTCAATTGAATTTCAGAGGCTACTGAAGATTGAGAGAGATTGGACAACAAGTGCAGAAAGGGTACAAAAATTGGTCATTCATGGAGATCCACTTGGAAGAGACAATTGTTGGAGATCAAGAGTTAGTGGCTTCAGGAGGATATTGGAGGTCACAAGAAGTAGATTGGAAAGTTTTGTAGAGTCGGCTAAGCAACATCTAATTGTAAATTCATAATGTAAATAGTGGAGGTAACTGGCTTAATCCAATGTTTTTACCTAATGGGGTTTCTTTGTCAACATATCTGGTGTTGTTTATTGCTTTCTTATTACAAACTGCGGCAATTCAATTTAGGATAATTGGACTATTTGATTAATTGTCTAGAAATAATTAAAAAGTGATTTGTTACTTTTAATTATGTTAATTCCATAAGTAAGGTCAAACTAAATCGGTAATCTAGATCTTTTCAAGTGGTATCAGAGCTTTTCATATAACATGGTATATAATTAAATATTTATATAAGACAGTAAAAAAAAAATGTACTTATTTTAGAAGGGTGGAAAATCACAATTACTTGAACTCATATTTTACATAATTAGAATCAAAAAGCATAGTGTATATAACAGAAAGAAATTCAAAGAGACATAATATTATGAATAGCGATTTTTAGGAGAATATGTGATTAAAAAGTATGAAAAATTTTGAATTTACGTGTAAGATATTTTATTATGTAAATATATTGTTGAACATAAGTATGTAGAAAAGAGTGTTTATAAATAATGGTTGTCAAAAAAGAGAAAGTCTTATTGAAATTTTGCTTAAATTAAATTAAAATGATTTTCTTAAAATATATGCTCACCTGCCAAGGTAAATTTCCTGGTGCAATAGTGAGACCTCAAAAGCAGCAGCAAAGATTTGTACCAATGGGCTAAATGCTGAAGTGAACACAGGTCCCTTTTGTTTCACACACCATGACATCACCACATAGCATAGTCCAGATGCTATAATTCCCTAATATCAAATCAATTAAAGTAAAATCAATGCTCATATATATTTAATAATATCCAAAAATAATGGATCGAAAATGTATTGATTAGTACTGACGGCATATAGGACACTTAAAATCTCTAACTTTCCCTTGAGAGCCCATGTAGAAATATTCCTGTCCACAATGAAACATAAAACAATCGACTGGACAGCACTAAACAAAGACATGGTGACCGTGCTAGAATATTGATACGGATATTTGTGTCCGATCCGTGTTTGAATAAGAAACCATGACGACCAGCTCACGCTGCCTGCAAATAGATATAGCGAACCAATAATGCTCCATCCGGCTGCTTTTATGTTATGTTGATGCTGTGGATGAGACCATGAGTTTCTCATTATTAATGGCATCCCTTTGTAAAGTATTAATATTAAAGTTCCGCCTAGACACGTTAATATGCCTAACACCGTAGCTCTTCCGCTCTTTCTTTTCATGTTAACTTTCTCCATCCTGTAAGCGACATGATACCATGGTAGAAACACTGTACAAAAAACGAAAACCCTAACGTTTTAAAAGTTTCTGTGTATCCTAAATCAGCAGTTACATTAATTGATAATTTTGGAATTCATGCAATTGAATATCAATTAACTTACCCGAATGGCAATGCCATAATAAATGTAATTACAGGCACCACATTGATAAAAGCGCACATGAACGTAGTTGATGTATATTTCAGCCCAAGCAAGAACAAATATTGACAAAGTGTCAACCTGCATCGAAAATATTGAACATTTTATTTACAGATCACAATCTAAGTTGCATGGAAACAGAAATAGATACAAAAAACAAAATTTAACACAACTAGATACGTTGTTTTTGAAATGAAAAAAATAAAAATTAAGATACGAAATCGAAAATATGTCTTCAAACAAATTTATGAACAACATAGAATATTGCAATATGGAAAACGAACAAAAAAGAACTTAAATATTTAGCTTACTCACCCAATCAAAGCACAAAGAAACATCTGAACGATCAACCAAGGTGTCAGCTTATTCCAACTTTCCCTGACATATTAGTTTTTTTCTTATATTTGCTAATATATTTGAAATCGTTGTTAAATCGTATTATATACTTAGTTTACTTAGTTACCTTTCCCATAAATAGGCAAATGGGATTAAGAAGACGGTGGAGATTATTTGCCTATATGCAACAATGATCATATGGCTCATCCCTCGTTCGAGTGCCATCTTGAAAAGAATATTTACCGTCGCTAAAACAAAGTTAACAGTCGCCATTGCAATGACTTGCTTCCACCTCTCAATATACTTCATTTTGGCACTATAATTTTCTTTGAGGTTGAGAGAAAATTGTGTCCCAACTAAGAAAATTTGTGTTCAAAAATTTCTTCTTCACTGCATTTTATTCCGTTCGTTGGAAAGCATGGAATACATTCCTTCACTCGTGTGAATATATAGATATATATTCTATATTACATACCAACAGCCCCTGACCTCATAAGCTTGATGGAATATGAATATGTGATGCTTGCCTAATTGCGTTAATGGTCACTTCTTACCAAATTAGGCAAAAATTGGAAATGAAATGGGACATGATAGAACATGCAATATAAAAATAACGTTAAGCTCATGTTTGGTATAGATTAAAATTAGAATTTTGATGAAAGTTGATAAATTTTTATTAAAATTGTATGTTCTATATAATGTGTGGTCATAATTAATTGTTGATCTGACTTGAAATTTTATCAACTTCTAATCCACACCAAGCATGGGCTAAGTTAAACCCTATGACTTGTTGATTTTATAATAGTATAATAAGTCTATGTTTGTCATTCTTTAAAAATTTAAATTGTTTACGACAGGATCATTCTTCACCACACATTCACGCAATAAAATATTTTACACATAAATCAATAAATTTTTCTTATTTTTCAACTACACATTCTCCAAAAAGTACTATTCGATAACTCATTATTCTCAAATAAATTCTATCAAACAGGCTCTAGTTAAAGTCTGAAATTATATTATGCCCTTGTTTAATTCTCATTCTTCTAAAAATTCATTTTTTCAAAACTCATTTTCAACCACACATTATTCAATAAAATAATATTACACGCAAATCCAAAACTTTTCTTTTATTTTTAACCACACATTCTCCATCAATCTACTATTCAAAATACATTATTTCCTCCAAAATAGAGATCAAAAAAGGGCTAATTATTTGTCAAGGATAAATTACTTCTCGGTTGAAGCTCACAAAAATTCCATAGTAAATTTTCAATTTTTAATCCATGTTTCCAAGTATTTTGTTCAATAGATTTCCTAAGAGTCAAGGTTCTTAACTTCACTAAAAATTTTAAAAAGATGGAATTTATTTGGAAGCTTCGGAAATCTTTCCAAAAAGTTTTTGAAGAATTTAAGTACAACCAAAAAATGAGGGATAAATTCTTTCACGAATTCCCGTCCTTTCGTAAGTGTGATAGTCACGTCTTTAACCTTTCATTTGTGATATTCATGTCCAGACCCTTTAACATTGTGTGCGCGGAGTCTCCACCTAATGGAAAAT